GATGCAGTGGTGATGGGGGCGGCTGGCCTTCCCCCGCGTCCGCTCTTGGTGCCGGCTTGGCCTTGGGTCCGAGGTAATGCAGTTGTTGCTTTGAGTACCGCTTGCAGTGCCGTGCATGTTGGCTGTCAGATTTTTTTTTACTCCTAACCGTTAACGTTAACTAGAAAATGCCTAATATATCTCATATTAACAGTTGATTTTCAGATTTGCTTTGAAAAAGGGCAGTGCCTTGTTCATAAATACAGTAGAGGGAACTTAGATCCTCTAAGTAAGTGTTAGCGTTGCTAATATTTATAATCTCTCCAGAACAAAAAGTTATCTGCTAACCCTTACTCGTGCAGGCTGCAATAACTAAATTACCTTGAAGGAAATAATTGCAGGTACCGTGGGTCAGGTGGTAGTTTTGCATATATTCCCATATGTTAAGACACTAGAAATGGTTGCAAGGGGAAGGATTTCCTTCTGTTTTAAAGATTCATGCACAAGCAGTAATCAAGTTACTGTCATGATTAGGTGTGTGCAATTTAACTGTTTTTAGTGACAAAATATTAAAAAGTGTGTGTGATGGCAGATAACAAAATTTTGAGATGATAAATCAGCAGCGATGTGCGTCATTCAGGCTTCTATTTTTTCTGCAACAGGAAGCAATTCAGAAGACAATCTGATTAAAGATGCATTTCGGTTTGAAGTATTACAAACACAGCATGAAGAAATTAAACAAAAGGTTAGCAATGTCTTCTCTTCTCCTTTAGGTTCCTTGCTATAAAGGCAAATATCACATCCTTCTGAGATGGCTAATTGAAAGGCCAGATGAGTTTGGTTGCAAGTATTTCTTTCTAATCAAGTTGTTTTGTAATCTTTGAAATGATGCATTGATATATAAAAAGCATTGTGCTAAAACCAGCTCTAGTAATGTAAAGAGCGAGAGCAATATTCTATTTCTTGTTTGTTTCAGATTAGCATACGCTGATTTGTCAGTTCTAATTGTTTTCTGTCAGATCTGTTCTCCTCTATTTGTTCATTGAGCTGGTCAGCAAAAGTAGTTTTGTGAAACTGAAAGATTTGAGAAAGTCATACTTAAATTTCATTATGTTGCTTTACCTCCTGATGCCTCATGGAAAGCTACTACAGGGAAGAAATAGATGCAGAGAAGTAAGAACATACAAGTAGCCATACCAGCTCCATCCTTTCTTTGGCAGACAGCTTAGGAAGAATAGAAGACCTGAGCAAGTTTATAGTGATATTTTAGCAGAATGTTGTTTTATCCTCTGGTAAAATTTCATGTAGTTATCCAGATGTAGTTAACCTGATCCAGAAGTTGTATACATGTGTTTAGTATCCTTTGGTGTATTTTTTAAAACACTTGTGTGGTGCTTTTTTTTTTTTAAGCCCAAAGAAACTCCTAGCGTCAAAGAGGTCTGCAGCCTAACAACGTGTTGTGTCAGGAAATTTCTCCTTTGATTTTATTTTGAAGTTCACACCTAGTGATTTTCAGTGGATGTATCTTGGCTATTATGAGAGGCAGTGAACAAGGAATAACTTTTGTGTAGCGCTCGCACTTTGATAGACCTTTGTTTCTTCACAATTGTGTCTTCTCCTAGACAGAAGGTTTCTACTTTCGTCATCCTTGCCTCAGTTTTCTGAATCTTTTCCAGTTTCTTTTATATCCTTCTTTATTGGGGAAGATCCTATCTGCACACCATGTTCAATATAGGGGTAAAACATGTTTTTATATTGTGGTTAAATGTATCTGTCTTCATTGTTCTTCGTGCTTTTCTGAATAGCTGCCTCTATTCTAGTCCTTTTTCTGAGCGATGATGTCTATTCAGACAATATTGGAGAGCATGCATGTCATGAAGATACTGTCTGGGGGCGGTAGTTTGTCTTAGGACAGCATGCTTTTTGGGTGCCATTTTAGATGAGATATTATAGTTAGTTTATCATCGTTCTCATCCAAACAGTAAATAGATTGTTGCGTGACTAGAGTACTTTTCAAAGAAAGAGTTTAATCGCGGAGGAGGAGGAGAACGCTCTCAGACACCAGTCAGGATGGTATAGGAACATATACCTTTGCTGTCATTTTATAATTCAATTAGAGAAAACAGTAGTTGAGCCTGATTTATTCAGAAACAGATTAGAAGCAACACTGCAGAATGTCTGGACTAGGTTATGGAAGTGTTTTCTCTGTAGAAAGTATAAATACGCTTAACTTTCAACCACAGAGATGATGATACACATCCATACTTCTGCTTATAGACATGATCTAATGGAATTCATCTGTTTGCAGCTGAAAGAAATGCAAGATGAAATTCGTACTAAAAATGGAGAAATTAAAATTTTGCGAGACTCAATGCTGCAGATGGAGTGTGCTATGGAGGAACAGAAAAAATCATATATGCTATTAGAACAGGAAAAATCTCAGACCCTAAGTGAAAAAGAAAAAGAGTTCTCCAGAAAGGTTTGTAATTGTATTAGTTATCTGTACATCACATGCAGACGGTAGTTTTATGACTTCAATGATGTCACAGGCCATTTAGTCAAAGGGCATTTGTTTGAAATTTCCAAAACACGTAGGCTTTAATTTTATTATCTAAAAGAAAACATTTATAAGAACTTCCTGAAGGTTTTCTTTTCTGCCAATAAAAGAATAAAGTTCAAGTGACAGAGTTTTTTGTTTGCACCTTTTTAAAGCAATTCCTAGAACATTACAATTAGAACATGTTTTAAAATGGAAAAATTGGACAGCATACACGCTATGACTCTGATCCTCTGATTGCTGTTCCTGTTGCAGTCATCTTTCTCAAAGCCCTGAAGAGGACAGTGGCTGCTAATGTGCTCTTTACTCTGCTGTTAATGGCCTCATTGTAATCATGCCCTGCATGTTACTTGGTATACCATAACAGGCCATATACTTCTTGCCTTAACTTTGACACTTGATTCTAAGATGGTATTAATTAGCATGCATACAATTGGAGATCCTGCACAGAGATCACAGTAAGTAGATGGTAATCTTGAAAATTTATGATAATTCTACTTGTTCTGCAGTTGACAGCACTAAACAATTCTGTAACAGTAAAACCATGCTTTTTATTTCATCTTTCAGTTAATGTCATTACAATCAGAGCTGCAGTTCAAAGACGCAGAAATGAATGAATTAAGAACACGACTTCAGAACTGTGAAAGAAATAGGCTTGTTACTGAAACAGTTTTAATGCCAAGGTATCAATTTTGGAAAATGGAATTTGTGTGCCTTTTTATAATATGTGGACTTAAAGTGTTACAGATGTTTTCCTTTTTTATGTAACTCTTAGTTCTGTTTTCTTGAAAATAATGCAACAAAAAAAAGTGGTTTGACTTCCATGGAATTTGCTCGCAGAGAGCCTTCCATGTGTCTGTGGCACAAATGCTTGTCACTTGCTGCACAGACTTATGAATCTAACATATGTTCATGAGATGTATACTTCAAAACGTCTCTACCTGAAAGACTCTATCCAAATTAGTCCTTTAATTCTTCTTCATTTTATTCAAAGAAACTAATTTTTGCTGTAGTAACAGGTGTTCTACTTTAAAGCTGTTCCATTTTACCAGGCTCTTTCAATAAAATGAAGAACAGTTATTGTTTTCCAAAACACAGAAAACTGTGCTAGAATGTAAATTTCTGAGTTCTTTCTTCTACTATTGCAACTGCGCTGTTCTTCTCTGACTAGTAACCTCATGGCTTTGTGTGGATGGAGGAAGGAGATACAGAAAAGTGCTGAGTATATCTCTACTCATCTGACTACCTCTGAATTGTGCAAAGTATATTTGTTTATGATTTTCTGGTTGTTTTGTGGACTGACTGGTTTTAAATTCTTCTGTCATTTCACTGAGCTAGTTCTCAGAGCATTTGAGGCCCATCTCCTCTCCACTACCTGAGGTCTTGTTCAGCTCCTAGTGACTTTCTTGGATACCAATAGAGGGTAAGGGGGAAAAAAAAAGTCCATCAAGATAACATAACTATTTTTTTTCTTTTTGCTTTCTAAAACAAATGGCTATGTGGGAACAGAAATAACATCCTCCCCATCCATACAAGTTAGTCCAAGATAATAATTTATTCTTCCCTTGTGATTCATGGATCTTAGGAAATTTGATAGATGTATTCTTAAAATTTGAGAGCTAGACTTAATGGCCTAGGACCCCAGGTTTTCCTTTCTGGAATAATTCTAAAGCAGCTGAAATGTTCTAGTACGTTACAGTCCCTGTCACGTACTCTGAATTGAACGTCTTGCAATACAAAAGGTGAAGCTTTTCTCAGATAAAATCTTCTGCAGTAAGCTGATCTTTACCTAAACGTATTTATACAGTTAGGATATGCATTGTTTGTACAGCTGAAATAGTTCTGTTTCTTGTGAGGAATCTGGTTTTGTGGACTATAAGCTATTAAAATATCTTTTTAAATAGTTCATATCTTCAGCTTTCTTCTTGAATGTAGAGTGAAATACCTTTAAAACATCAATATTGCGAAAGCTATTAAAATAGATCATTGTTTATTGACTAATAAAGTAATTCCCCCCAAAATACTGTTTCATCTAAGCATTTGATTTTTATTTTAGTCCTATAAAAAATCTTGCAATCCCAGTGAAATCAGAAGGATGTTCTCCACACCCTGGAAAAAGATCTTTTCCTACAAAAGAATCTTTCAATGCTGAAATGTCCACTAGACCATCCTGTTCTTCAGGAAATCTGTTTGTCCAGAGTTCTTTGATCAAGGAAGGTAAACTGATACATAATTTCCATATTTGTAGCTACATTTACAAAATTCTACCTTAGATTTTTTTTTTTTTTGGTAATAATACGATGGGACTAAACAATTTCAATAACTTCATTGTAGAAAAAAGCAAACGTTTTGTTTTATTTTGTCTTTGCTTAAATTTCTTTCTATTCTATAGCAATTGATATTAAACAGCTATGACTGAACGTTGCATCAAGGTGCTCTTATTTCATGCCTTGGTAAACACTGATATACCAGATGCCAAGATATCAGCAGTGAAGTGGTTGTAGTAAGCGACTTTTATTTATTAGGTGATGAACTTAAATATCCAAATTGATGCCTGCCTTTCTTACTGAAGACAGAAGAAGAGGAAATAATTTGCCTATTTCTTGAATAGGTCTGCTAATCAACTTACAGATTTGTTTATTGCCTTGCTTTAATTGCTTGAATAAGCAGACCTTTTTCGGCAGTTTATTGTAAGTGATATATATTTAGCCACGTTGAAAGAATGAACTGAAACAGTGTATTCATTTCCTCCTTTATGTATATTTCTCAGAAAATTATATCTTGAAATTAATTGAGTAAAGCTTAGGAAATGAATATATGCATGTATTTGGAGATCGCTAGAATATGAAACAAAAATGGTGTTTCTTACAGCAGCCTACTAATGTGTTGTATGTGGTGCGACGTGTTGACAGCAGGAAATAATAAATGGAAGAAATTTGGATATGACCCCTATAGGAAGAATCATAACAAATCTGAGAATCTGAGACATTGCTGTCAATTCCAGTATACAATCTTAAACTGTGTGGGCAGCATCAGCTCTTCAAAACAAAAAAACCCAGTAGCCTGGAAGTATAAGTGTTGCTATTCACTTCAGACCCCTGCTTCAACAGGGATGAACCCCTGCTAACAACACTTAATATGCCTGTTTGTTTGAAAAAGACACTGATTATGGGCCTCCGTTTTGGGTGGTAAGTGTGATGGATGTAGCTGATTGAAAGATTATGAAATCCTCAAACATACTGAGGTTTTTGAGAAATGTATGTTTATCTTTAAACTAATATAATCATATACATCTCTGCTAGTTGTGGGAAGTCAACTTTAGGTTTTTTTTTTTTCTAAAAGAAAAGTAGAGAGCAGTGATACTGAACAATCTATAGAACATTCGTCAGTGAAGGTGAAATTTTACTAGACTTTCTAATTTATTTTGCGGAGCAATTAATTCTGTTTGCCACACAGCTCTTAATTATGGTATTGTTTGCCATCACTGAGTTTTACAAGATAAATGTTTTCAGTGGTCTGCTATCTGTTTACTTACTGTATCACAACAATGGTTAATTGAATGTGTATAGAGCATAGATACAGATATCTAAACAATCTAGTTCTAATATTACAATTATTGCTTTTTAGAGAGCAAGTTACCTCATCCTGAAGGTTTATCTGTGAAGCAAGAAGCAATGGGAAAAAACAGTTCCTACAACTCTGTACATAAACAAAACAGTCAAGGTAACTTAATCTCTTAATACAGAAGTAGTGAGCGTTTCTGAGGAACAATTGAAATGCCATTATTAAGCAGTGTAATAATGAGGAGCCTGCTATGTATAACGTCACTGCACAGAACGGGGGTATTGAGCTAGTCAAAGTCTCTTTATTGCTTTGCATATTGTGATTTTACAGTAAAACATCAGATTGTCTTATTATTTTGTATCCTAACAACATTGTTACATTGTTATTGTGCGGAAGAAAATTATTGTTGGCCAGTTTTTATTTTTTTAAATAGAAGGATACAGAGCAAAGGGTATTTGGTTACAGGCTGGCTCTTTCAGTATGGATATGTTATGCTTGCTTTTTATTATAATTAGATGTAAACTAGGAAAAATTTACATTTTTTTATATAAGTAAAAACAGTAGAGGACCCTTTACAACAGTCAACACAAGGAAATCTTCAGTGTACTATTTTATTTTGAATTCAGAACAAAATCCCATCACGTATTTTAATGTCTGGACCAGAACATGTAAGGCAAGAGATCAGGATAGTTGGGTTATGCAATCATTTGGCTTGAGATATTTTACAAATATGAGATTGTAACGTAAAATCTCTCCAAATCTAATTTGGTTACTATTTACATCATATCTTAATATTTCTGAAAATCATTCTCTAATTAGAAGTAGAGAAAGACAGCAAATTTGTAATTTTAAAAAAAATTGAGATCACGTGCTATAAAAAAGGTTAGTATTTTAGAATATGACTTTTTTTGTTGTTAATGTTACAGTTGACGGTAAATGTACTCCAAAGACAATTATGTATCCTTTCAGGTTCTATCTTACTAAATGCACTGATGAAGCAGCCTATTGTCCCTGGATCTTTACTAGGGCTCTGTCATCTTCTTAGCAGTAACTGTGAGGTTACTCTACCAGGAGCTGTCTTGCAGCCTAACTTTTTGGAATCGTAAGTTTTTTGTTTTTAAGCCCTATCTGATAAATTCTTAGTACAGTGGCATACTCTATACTAAGGAGTTACTCATGTAAGAAACCTCATTACTCATGTTAAATGCTTTTTCAGTTGGGCCATTTGGTGCAAAAATTGGAACACCGTTCTGCATCTTTGATTATTAATAGTCTTTGATTACTGTAGGTATTCAACATTTGAGCAACACTAAAATTATTTTAATTTTATGTTAGGGGAAGGCATAGAAACATGTTTTATAAAATTTGAGAATGGCTGTTAGCAGCTACTATTATTAATGATTTGAGAGCATAAAATTTGCATTACAATGAAAGAGGCATATAAACTTGATCATGAGTTCATAAACAACTAGAAAAAATATTGAAAATCTGATCAAAAGAACAGTAGAGTTTATATCTCTTGTCTAAATTACATGTGATTTATTTTTTCTCCAGATATATATTTATAGTGACCTTTTAAAGCATTTTAAATATGAATGTTGGATATAAAAATAATTAGTTGAATATGCTTTTAAAAATAGGGTTTGTTCACAAGATTTTTATCTGCTTCACTGCTCTTTTGTTGAGACTTTTTTTTTAAGTTGACTTGAACATTTAGGCAGAGTTGATTTTTAAATTCAAGATGACCGTTTAGAGAAGAATTATTTTCTCACAAAGCCTAGTTCTTGCCCTGTAGTTTAAGGGAAGGCTTACAGGCTAATACCGTGTAAATGTTTTCCTTGAGTAACTAACAGTGCAAGAGACCTTTGAATAAAGGTTTGCAATACAGTCTTCTAAAATTACTTACTATTCAGTCTTTTTTTTGTGCTTCTGCATATGCTTTATGGTGTATGCTTGGCCTTTAGCTGGAGTGTGACTGGTTTATCACTTAAGTGTTTCCCATTTCCCTAACACGTTACATAGAAAATGCATATTGAAAGTCTCTGGCCAAGGTAGTAATTTTTTTTTTCTTTGTCTGGTTTCTAATGAGCAGCTGAAGTTACTCATCCACCTGCCTACTCTAACTACTTGCACAACACTTCAGAGTGCTTTGAAATTGCTCTTCTGTGCAGGTGTCAAGGAGTTGAATTTTTTTAATTTGCATTCTGTTTTGAGAACAGACATGTCTTAGTACTGTAGCCTTTCTATATTTGATTCAGAATACAGGTAATTTCAAGTGATTGTATAAGAACACTTCCTATGTACTCTACTTTGTTGTTGTTGTTGTTGAAGTATTTCCCTTTTAATTTTATTTGGTTAGGAAGTCTACGGGGATACCCAGCATTAGGACAACTCGAGAAGAAATTGCTTCCCTTGTATCCCTGAGAGAAGCTCAGAAACTTGCAATAACAGGATTGAACTTGATTGCTATGGATGAAGGGTCGTCTGAAGGAAATCTAGCAGAAAGCAGGGGAGAGTTTTTGGACCTCAAACGTTGCAAGGTCCAAGGCGCTGTGCATCTCTTGCCCTTGGTAGAACATTACATTGGTGCATACTGTCAAGCAGTGCAATTGGTTGACAAGTCAGTAAATGGTTCTTGTGGAAACCATTCAGTTGTTTCTTCCAGAACTAATGCAAATGTAGTATCAAGTAAGGAGGACTTCAGATCATCTCTTGAAGAAACTACAGTTATATCACTGGGCATTCTTTATTATTTGTCATTTTATAGCTGGGATGTTGTTCACACATTGCTCTCTTCAGAAGTGGAAAGAGACTCTGCTGTTGGAGATGAACAGGTTTCCAAGATGGACAAAAATATGTTATGTGATAATGAGTGTGATAATAAAGAAGATACCAGGATGCAAGGAGGGCTGCATGTAGCTCCACAGGATGCACCTAATAATGGTCGAGCTCAACATTCTTTGTTCAAAAAGCTGCTTCAGGTTTTAGCTTTTTCTGCTACGACAGGCTCCCAGATTGACAGTATACTGAACCAAAGCCTAAAAGTTTTGGTGAAATTAGCTGAAAATTCAACAATGGACTTGCTAATAAAGTAAGTCAGTAATACCATTGAAATTATTTGAGGCCCTTTGTTGATTAGTAGTTTTTAGTCTCTATTGAAACTCTTAATTTGTGCAGATGACTGTAAAAGTTGTGCCATGTATGGCAGAATATCAGATTCCTCAGTTCTTGGAACAGCAGCTGAAGATCTTTCTAGTGCTTTTGCTGCTCATGAATTTGATAACTGCCCCACATCAATAACATGATTTGGTTATAAGTTTATATTAAGCAGTTGCTGTTGCCTCATTCCATAGTTTTAACTTGAAAGTAAGAAAACTTTTTAAGGCCATGTATAGTTGATCAGAATATCCATAACATACATTTTGGTTTTTTGCAATTGCTAGTAGATGCATGAGAAATGGAAATTTTGCCTGCTAACAGTCTAACATGCAACCATAGTGAATTGCAGACTGCCTGCAGAACGTAATGGAAAATGTTTTTCAGTGTACTACTTTCTTTTTATTTATGACATGTAATTTGAGATCAGATATATTCTGAATGGCTCAAAAGGCCCAAATTATGATGCCGTATACAAGAAATGATGAATTATTCTCAACGTGTTGGCGCATTTCCCATTTCTAATTCTGATTTTCTTTTAAAGTTTTCAGGACTTATTAAATAGCCAGATACTGTTCCGTTGTCTGTGTCCAGAGACCCCTTTGCGTACTGTCCTTTTGACCGTGAGACTGTTGTCTATATTTGCTCAACACCACATGTTGGTTGCTCAACTTTGTTCTCATTCAGGTAAAAGAATGTATAACACAGAGAATTTTTATCAGTTGAAAGTTAGTTGGCATGACTAAAAGTAATACAAATAAGCCTTGCTTCAAGGTATTAAAACCTAAAAAGGTAAACCTTGGTATGTTATGTGAAAACTTGCTTCCTAGTGCTGAGTTTCAGTTATTGTTTGAAAAGTATTTTGTCTTCCAATATCTGTCTACAGTGCTTTTGACGCCCGTGTAGATTTTTAAAACCACTTTCCAGATTCATGTTTTTTATATTAAAAGGTGATGAGGAAAAAGGGCTTTTGAGGAGGTAAAGGCTAATTCCGTCCTGTAGGATATCTGCACTTCATGACCCTGAGTTTGTGGATTTCAGTAGTGGGTGTAACAAACAGTCCTTGTCCTGTTCATTATGAATGAAGGAGGGGAATACCACAAATGCATATGTGAAGTTTAGGGATATGAAATGATTCCTTTAGTACTGCTTAAAAGGTGTGCACACTACATATTTTCTGTAATGTTTTTCTCTGTGACAAAATTAATCATTGTCGTAGACAAGTGACTACTGGGGAAAAGAATGAAGCTATCTTTATTTCAGACACCTGCCTTCTTCTTGCACTGTACATGTATATTACATCAAGACCAGATAAATCTGCATCTGAAGTGCTTTGGCTTCAGTTAGAACAAGAGGTAACCACAGCTTTTTGTACAAGTGTTTTTTCCTGCTATTTCCTGTTTGGGCTGGTGAGGGAGCAGGGGAACGCACAAATTGAAATGTTCTGTTTCATTTGGACAGAGAACTTGTTTTTTAGTCAAAGGCTTCATTTGGCTTCTGTAGTTAGGGATTATATTTGCTTTTAAGAGCAGCTGCGTGAAAAGGGTCAGGAACTATTGTTGAAGATGTCTTCAAGACATTATCATGTGCTATGACATAGCAGCCATAGTTAAGTCATTGAAAAAGCAAGAAAGATCCTAGGATAGCTGGAAAAGTTAAAGACCTTTGTGGTCAAATGTTCAAAACTATTCTGCTTTTACGTTGGTAGAGGAATAAAAGAAAGCAAAAACTGTGTTTCATTTTGATTGTCCTATTTACTTCTAAACTGATCTTATGAGTTATTATGCATGAATGGCAGTCTGTGGCAACTGATGATTATATTCATTGCATTTAGTGAAATCCTAGCTTGCTATATAGCAGTCATGATTATATATAGGAAGAACAGCTTTTGTATTTAGTTTGTACTGACAGTGGCAACTTGTTCTGTGGGGTTCCATCATTTGCTTTGCTTTTCCTCTCATTAGAAAGAATTTTGAACCATTTTCTAAAACTTTTTTAATGTCTGCTTGTCTGCATCGTTATATTTGGAAAGTGTAAAATACTATTTGTGTGCACTGAATTAAGACCCATCACGCCTTGCCAGCCTTTCTCATCAGAAAGCTGGAAGGGTTTCTGTGCAAGGCAAATTCTATTTCTGTAAAGTTTTATAGGAAAAATTGTTAACGTTTCCGGGGGTGATGCAGGGGAGGGAAGAATCAACTGTTAACGAAAAAACCAAAAATGTTTGAAACTAGTAATGAAATTTCTACTTCCCTTTATTTGCAGCATAATTGTTTGATAATTCTACAGAACCCTAGTACTCACTGTAATGCAATCTGCATGTTTTTGTAATAGACACTTAGACTCCTGACAAGGTGTATGCGGTGTTCCAGTCCAGCAGTTTTACTACTTGGTACTGATTGCCAATGTAATCTTGAGGTATGTCACCAGAATTGTTGAATTTAACCTACTGAAAACTTCAGGAAACACCTAACAATGTTAAAGTACCTTTATGCCCTTTTCTAGCTGCCCTGAAACAGAATTGTACTGTATTTTAAAAGCTGCCTTCTCCAAGAAGACTTGCTTTGCCATGCTAGAAAATACTCTAAACTTGGATGTTTGAAAAGATTGATGAGTAAAGATCGTAATGAGATAAGTTGTCTGCTCTTGTAATTGTTTTGTGTACCAAGTCATTTTTTTCCCTCTTTCAGGTGGTTAAAGCACTAATTATAATGTTACATAGACAGTGGATGAAGATTAGAAGGTCTGAGAGCACTTTCTGTACATATAAGGAACACATTGTTCAATTTTTACGGGATGCTGTTTTACTCTTACACAGCCTATCTCAGAAAGATAAACTGTTTCATGAACACTGTTTGGAAGTTCTCCATCAATATGACCAAGCCATGCCTGGTGTAAGAGCCATTCTCAAAAAAACTCAAAAACTGAGTGCCTGTGAAGGTAAAATTAGTGAAATTATAGGTTGCTTGTGTGCGTGTGTATATGTGTGGGGTTTTTTTTCCCCCGTTAATACTGGGGAAATGTTAATGGAGGAAAGGGGCATAAATGGAATTTCCAAGTACCATGTACCAAATACTGTGGATTTTTTTTTGTTCAGACTGAGAGGGCAATCTGTAGTGTAGTGCTCCTCAAACTTCATTACACTGAACCACTGTTATTTAATAGTTTTTTTTCTCTTTCTTTTCTCCACACAAATATGCCCCTACCATCTGATCAAACAAAACTTTGTGCTCCAGCTCTTTAGCTTAACAATCTGCATTAAATGTTATCTCATGATAAAAATCATTATTCCATGTCTCCAACTAACATTAATCCTGTTTTATTCCCTGAATCCTGAACTAGAATCTTTCTTCCTCTTCCCTCCCCTTCTTCCATTTCCCCAAAAGCTTCTCTAACAAAGGCACTATCAGGATTTGCCCCTTACTTTGCGCATTTCCTGTGACCACTTCCTACAGAGATCTCCTCTGGTGAAATTACCTCTTTTCCTCCTAGCTCACATGTTATTTCTTCATTCAGTCATGGCATTATTTATGTACATATCTTAAAGCCAGTGTTAAGATGATGCTCTTGTGTCAGTATGTAGTTTGCAACTAGTATCAGACAATGCAACTGGCCTTATTTAGAGCCAGAGCAGTAGGACCGCTGTTAAGTGTTGCTATAAGCATTGCATCAGAAAGGCAGGTCATACAAGCATGCCAATACTGATTACAGTGATTCTTCTGGAGATGCTAAACAGTGCGCCATGTATTTGTACTAACGCTGACTGCATAGAGTGAGCGTCCTGAGGTTTTCTAGAACCTCACCTTGCCTAGCTATGCTTGGGAATAGTCCAAAATAGTTTAACAGCATCTGATGTGGTGTGGAGGTGGTGGTGTACGCATGTTTTTGCAAACCTGCAGTTAGCATTCAGGCTCTTGCCTTAAAACATAAAATATATGCTTTTGTCCTAGCAGCTTTTTAAAATTAGTTTACAGAAATGAAGTTTTCAACTTTTTCAGTAGTCAAAACTAATTCTAAAATAAGTGGTCTTTACCGGTTTTCCACTCATAACTAAATGTAAGTGACTGTCAAAGACAGTTCTCTCCTTGCTGTAGGTAGCCCTTAAAAATGAGGTGGAGAGGAGATGTTTGTAAGACAAAACACATATAATACCTCTTTGCACTGAATATCTCGATACTTTCTCCACAATGTTAATAAGCTTTTGGAAGTTGTTTTGGAAGATAGTAGAAAGTGCTGACCTGTAAAAAAAGATATTTGCTGTAGCCTTTTACAGGCTGTATTTTTTTTAATACAAAGATCTTAGTTATATTTAAAGTATATTGAATATAAATTTACTCTTTGAAATGTGATTTTTTTTCTTGTTGTTGCAGAATTGATTTTGGATGAATTGTATCCTCCTGAGCCAGAAGCAGATGATCAAGGAATGGACTCCAGCTAGCTAACATCTAGGAGAGATCTCTGTCCTTCCTTATCTAAATCTTATTAATCATTGTCACTGTAAAGCTGAAATTTAAATCAGTTATCTTATTTTTTAAGTGATAAATAGAAATGTGTTATGATCATTTTATTCAAGAGTCATCTAAATGTAGCTGATATCAAAGAAAAAATTTTGATGTAAGGAACAATTATACTGAAATGTACTGTTTTGCTGTGCAAAACCACTCAATGGCTTATGAATCATTTTCCTTATGAATTTCATCTTTTATGAAATTGCTGTGAACAAACTGAAACTTCACTATTGTGTTCTCCATTTTACTGTATTTACAGCCTAATAATACTGAATGTAATAAGATGATTGAGATCACTAAGTTGATACGAAGTCTTTTGAAAATATTTTTCTCTGTTCTATTTCTTTTGCAGCTGTAACTTTCTTGCTTGATTTCAAGAATTCTCATGCTGGCATTAGTAAATAGTTTACTGTGATTTTAAATTTTTTTGTAGAAATAACTTACAGTTCGCATTTCAGTTCTTTGCAAGAAATTCATCAAAACCTTCTAGTGATGACCTTCTAGTGATGACCTCATTTCACTCATTTTTCTCAATTTTGTATTTCTGCTGAAAGTACTATTGAGGTACCAAATTTTTTTTTAAGTTACTTTAGAAGAATGAGATGGTAAATGTTGAAGAGGAATATTCTCCCCTATTGTGCAAGAGGGAGAATGTTTAAATCTGTGCAGAATAACCATTTTTTTGGTTGTAATATCAGAATATGCATTGCAGTGAAGATGAGTTCATTCGGCTAATGATTGAAGAAAGAATTGTTGCTTTATCCTTTCAGATCTGTGTGTTTATCAACTCTTACTCAGTTGCAGGTACCAGCTGAACCTTAGACCTTAAAAAGGGAAGTGTAAATGCTACTTAAATAGGCCCACAGGCTTGTCTTTGAGCTAGTTTGGAAAGTTGTGGGTGGGTGTTTTTGCAAGGACAAGGACAGATATTTGATTCTAATTGCAAGTAAATACAGGTTTACAACTCCTTGAAACAAGCGTCAGTTTTCTCCAAGTGCTTTAAGTGAAAGATGTAGTTAGGCTGCACCTCAGAAAGAGGAACAAACCTTTATTTAGGCCAAAGTTGCTTTTATGTAGTGTCTATAATAAGAAGAGGGGAGAAATGAGACTATGCAGACGGTAAACTAAGTTAAAAACTGAAGTGCTTAACTGCAGTGAGGGAGATGTGTAAGTAGTGCTTTTTAAATGTTCATCAGGACGCTGTAGCAGTGTTACTTTAGCTGCAAAACCTAATTTAACATTATGCCTCTTTTTACAGCTGAGGGAATTGTGAAGGTACAAAAACCTGCACTAAATACATGCTCCAAGCGGCATGGAATCCTACCAAGACAGGACTATGGAAGGGCAAAGAGCACTGTTTGAAGTGCCCCCAATTTAAAGCACATTATTAATGGGCCTCTCACTATTGTTTTATCATCTGAGGTTGTTCTTAATTTTTATTTGTGGTATTACTATGCAGTATATCCTCCTCTTCAGTGTGTGTGAGGTGCATTAAAGACTACCTGCAGCCAGAGCAGGCCGTGGAGCAAATGCCCTCCCTTTTCAGTGCATAGAATGGTTTTGAATAGGTGGTGTGTTTTCCCAGGGTCAAGGTGAGCAGTTTGGAAACTGTTGCGCCATGCAGAATTGGAGGTGCAGCTTGCATGGCTCTCTGGCTGCTCTCCTTCCCCTTCATCTCCCTCAAGGGCATTTCTTTCTCTGAGCAGGGCTGGACTTGAGGAAAAACATGTCCCAGAATTTCAGCTGCACCAAGGAAGTAAAACCTGCTCAATGTTCTTCATGAGATCTGGAGCAGAGACTGAGCTGTAGAAAGGACCCTTCCAGGTACAGCCTTCCTCCCCTCCCACATCCCCAAATATCACTGGCAGCTTCTCTTGGTGAGGGGACAGCATGGAGGCTGGGCATCCCTGTGCCCTCCCCTTCGCAGCAGTCTGCGACAACCACAGGAGCTGTGGGTTTCTAAAGGTTACAGAACAGAAGTGAGCAGAGAAAGCTTCTGTGCACTGTACTGATGCATCAAAGTGGGCATAGTACATGCTGGAGGAGCAAAATGCATCACCTTCTGCAATGCTGGTGCACAAGAGACCTTCCCTGCATTAGTACTGGAAATGAGCCTCGCACCAGAGGCCAAAAGGAGGGGAGAGAGAGCACTACAGTGGGAGGGAAGCCTTTGGAAAGGGGGCCTGGGAGCAGAGGGCTGGATGGTTCCCAAAAATGCTGCATCCTACCCTGGGGTGCCTAGGCAAACAGCCACACTGTAGTGTGCTGAACATGCTCTTGCCTTGGCTCTCACTTTTGAAGAGAACTTACCCAAAAATAGTGTAATAGTCCAGCAGCTCCTTGGGCCAAAGTTGCTAAGTATAAAGCATCAGGCCTTCCATCCACAATGCAGCCTTGGGAAAAAGCTTTCTTGCTCTTTGTGCTACAGCTGGCAGAGCTGTGCTAGGCCTGGGCTGTTTGCTGCTGTTACACAGCCTATCTGCAAGCCACTGAGAGCACCGCTCAGAAAAAGTTTTCAGTTCCCTCGTAGCAGCTGAATTTCTGAACTGAAACAAGGTGGGACACATGGGCACATAAGGGCAAAAGCCTTCCTTTTGAGCCCATGTGTGTTTGTATAACGACTACCTTAGACCTGCAACCACAGCACTGGACAAGACCTACAAAAAAAATTCATCTTACAAACAGGTATCATGACTGGAAACTATTTGACTTACTCCCTTTTAAAATAAAGCAAACAACTAAAAACAGTTCATGGCCTTCAGGATTAGAGAAGGGCATGAGAATTTGAGTCAATAGCTCTTTCCTTACTCAGAACCAAAAGAAACAGTAAAATAACTCTTTAACAATAGTCTTAAGAGGGAGGGTAGCAGTGATAGAGCGCTATCTGGCGCGTAGCTTGCTGTAACTGGCAAATTTAGAGCTGGCCTAACAAAGATATGATTGTCGCACTATCCCAAAGTCCAGTGACCTGCCATCAGCTTTCAACTGCTCTCTGCCATTCTGACCACCCAATTTCAGTAAACATAATTTGAGTATAGAGAGATAAGATGCAGAACACACTTTTTTTGCATTTAAACAACTTCTTTGGCTAACTGGCCCAAATGAACTTAGAGGAGTTTGGACTAAGACCAGTGAAAGAGTCTCAAATTGTTGAAGCAATCCAAAAGTACAGAACAAAAACTGCTTTAAAAAAAAAAATTCCTGGCCTCATCTCAAGAACATGTGTGTATGGGAATTTGGCAAGAGGGAGAAATGTGTTCCCACTAAACTTCATATAAACAGAAGTGCCTCTGTGGAAAAAAATACTGGACACCTACCTTTACTGGGTCCCGTCTGGCACCAGCCCCCTCCCCACGCCCAGGCAAACAGCCCAGCACCCCGGTGTGTCCCGCTGCACCCACCCGGTGACTGTTCTCCTCCCGCTCCTGACTTTAAAGTGGTATGGCCCAGGCTTTTCTGCAGGCTGTTAAAAAAAAAAAAACAAAAAGCAAAGCTTCCTTCACCAGTAGAAACATCATGACATGATGACTTTAATTGGTAGCTTTTAAGAGTGAAAGTATTTTCTGTAAGTGAAAAGTCCAACGGGAAATGCAGCTACACTCATACAGACAAACAGACACAAGTATACTTAGAGAGCTGCCACAAGTCAGGATTACATTTTTTTGGAGTGAATAACAAAAAGATGACTAGGATTTTCCCTTGTCTTTTGTCAGGACGGTTGCAACATTGTAGTGCCGTCCAGTAATCCATCCCTTTTTACATTCGCTTAGGTCTTGGGGTTTTTTTTTCTTTTCCCCTATAAATTTAATCATGTATGTAACAGCTGATCATGCCATGACCAGAAAAAAACCTGAAACATTTGTTTTTATGAATTTAGGAGGCACTGGCTTACTTTCATGACCTAATACCATAGTCCTCGTGACTGCGCTCACTAGAGACTTCCTGAAGAATTCACAGCATAGCAACTTTTTCAAGGTCAGTTCCTATTTTCCCTCATGTTATAGATAAACTCTGCCTCTGTATTAACCCTGGAAAGGAATTTACTCCAGCAACAAGTACTGTTGCTGGAGTAAACAGGCGCAACAGGACTGAATAGCATTATTGAGCAACAGCAGAAACCAAGCCCTGCACGGCGATGTTCTGTACGCGATTACTGCGCGTCTCAGCTGGCAGCTGCCGCCCCTCTCTAGTTGCCTTTGATAACGTTCTCCCTTTGGTGAGCGCTCAGCTAAGCGCAAGTGGTTTCTCCCTCCTCAGTGAAGCGTTTTGTGCAGACAACACTAAAACTACAGAAGAGCTGGCTAAAGAAAGCAATCACTGCTATCAGTTTACCCCTTATTAAGGCCCGCTAGGCAAAAAGGAGAAGGGCAGCCTTGCTGGCTTGTACTTTAAGCTCTACCACCACTACACCCTTTGAACGGCTGCAGTGCAGGAGGAGGTATCATTGCCTTGATAAGCAGCTTCCTGTGGTGATGAGCCTGATGCGCTGGGTGGGTTCAGGCACAGAACAGTTTAATGCTACTAAGGCTATGTACAGAGCTGAAGTGAATGGTGCTGCTTTGCCTAAAGCACTTAGGGAAGTTGCACAGGTACCACCTTATTTTCTACACCTCACAAAAACAGAATAGTTGAGGTCAGAAGGGGCCTCTCTCAGTCCTGTAGTCCAGTCTCCCTGCTCAAAGCGAATTTCCACAGGCTAAACAAACAGCAGCCTATTTTGCATAATGTAAGCCCCAAAACACATCTTTAAAATCCCAGCTACAACAGGTGAGGAAGGCAAATAAATACAAAATACCTCATCGCGCAGCACATTTCAACAGCCTCATTTGTGCCATTTGACCTGAGCTGTGGACCATGCTGCTGTTTTGACATTAATCCCACTAGTGTGGCTTGCTGCTCGAGAAGAATTTACCCTGTGCTAGACTATGGGGACAGTAAATTATCTTACCTGGAGAATGGTAAGTTGTGATGTTAGTTATGGTTACATTAATTAAGGTCAAGTGCAGCACTTCTGATTTGCCTATATAAAGATTGTATTATTTGCTGTGATGTAATAACAAAGATCAACTTATGTTTACAGTGTAAATTAACTTGTTAAAAAGTATATATCACAGATGATAATTTAGCAGACTGATATGAAAAGGTGGGCTGTGACCTTTTCAAAGACCTACAAACACACTGAGGCTGAAGTTTACCAAAATGCCAACACTTTCCGTGCGAGTTAAATGGCCAGCAGTGTGCTTAACATCTTTATCCCTGCTGCAGGTAAATATGGTTCAACCAGGACTAATCTTAAAAGTTTTAGTACTAAAGCTTGCAAGTGAAATAGTGCTCTGAACAGCTGCTCGAGTGGTAACCTGCTTTTGAAAATATTTAGAAGAAGCAACTAATATATTCCAGCCAGATAACTGCAGAGTTTCTTAACATAGATATCACAGATTTTTTTTTTTTTGGTCTATACATTTGCCATATTGTAGGTTGGTATTTCTGGAGGCGTAGTTGCCCAGCCGCTTGTGTTAACCTCCTTTATGCCACAGCCGCTCTGTGACACCTGTCCAGCAAAGTCTGCAAAACAGATCCTACCGGATTCTAGGGACAAAGCGACATCGGAGCGCGAGCCATGGAAACCACCTGTCCCTGCATTCGGGGGGAAGAAGGGGGTAGAAGGAAAAATCTCAAGTAACTGATTCAAAAGTTATTGTAACTGCAGTAAGGGAAATGGGGTATCAGAGGTTAATCTATACATATCTTGAACTATTCTCCACTCTTGTGAAATATTTAAAATGAAATAACAGCAAACTCCCAGTAACTGGATGCCAGACAAAAATCACAATTCTTTGCGATTGTGATGTGGCATCACCTAAAAAGCCTATCAGCTGACAGCCTCAGGTCAGGTGTTTAACATAGCCTGCAAATAGTGGGTGAAGCTATCGTTCTTCAAAAAAATGAGACCCATCACAGGACTATTCTCCCGCCACCCCCCTCTTCCTTCCACCCCACACAACAGAAGTTAGAAGAAAGCCAGAGGCTCCTTATTTGCATGCTGTATTTCTGGAACAAAAATTAAGGTCTGTGGAGAGGCAGCCTCATTTATTTGCCTCGCAGAAGCCTTCTCAAGTATTTTGACTCAGATTCCTCATGTAACCCTCAGTCAGTCATAGCTTTCATGACTGCTGGGAAATGAGAACGAAGGTTCAAGAAAGCTTAGTATGACCTTTCGGACTTCTGGTTCAGCATTGCAAACTACTGCCATTTCACAACCAGGGGGATGGTTCTGTTTTCTCAAAGTCAGAATCTGAATCAGTTACCTAAACAACAATTTGAAGGGTAATTTTTCGCTTCAAAATTCTCCATGAAGACCTTAAACGCCGCCCCAACCTCCTCAGGAACTGTCTGTGAACACTGTGAAAGGAGGAGCAAGAGCTATGTCCATGCTGTCGCAATGGAAGAGGACTTGGGCAGAGACAATGAGGAGCGTGCTTTGCCCAGAAAGCATCAGAGTCATACTCGAGAGATTTACTTTGCCCTCAGACAGGGCAACAGTTCTTGGTAAATCAGGACAAAAATGGAGGGAAGACAAGGGAAGTCTGTGCAGAGAGGGGGAAGGCACAGATGAACAGTATTTACTGACAATAAAACCAAGTGTCGTTATTGGATTAAAAGAATCTCCAAGACACTCGACTTCCCTGTTTGCAGCGACGGCACTAACTCTGGCAGTCCCCAACTGCCTACCCGCTGCAGCCCCATGGGCAGCCGGGACGGCCAGCGGCTCACTGGGCCACCCACCACGGACAAAAGTAGGCAGTTGCGTCTCGGACCTAAAAGCCACGTTACAACAGAAAGACATCATCTGTAACACGGCTAACTCGCCCTTAGTGGAGACTGCCGTGAAGCGGTGAGGCAGAGCCACCTACTCCATCACAGAGGTGCCTGAGCTCTCCAAAGGGTGAAATACCCAATTTTCTTCTGTTTTATCTTATCACCAATAGGTTTAACTCAAGTACCTTTTCCCCCCATAAGGCTTGCTTACAAGCAGTAAATCTTACAGTGTCCCTGTGATGCAGGCAATACTAAATTTCAAGTAGATTAGATCAAATAGAAACCCGAGGAAAAAAAGTAGGGCTGGAACCACTGACTAAAGCAAACCTGACAAGTTATCACACATGCCCAGATTTGATACTAAGTTTCCACACGTGCAAAAACAGTAGAGAATTAGTTGTTTGGCAATAATTGCTCCAGTTTTTCCCCTGGTCTTGAACTCTTCCATTCGACCCTGCCCATGGATTTTTAAGATGGATGCCAAGTCCTGTCCTGGAAAAATTCACATGGTAACACAAGCAATTGCAGCTCAAACGTTATGAAAACGCAAACAGCAGTACTGCTCACCCAGCTGTGGGTTCTCAGCTTTTCAGCTGTGTTTTGCTCTCCTGGACAACCTGCTGCTTCTGTTTTAGAAGGTGAAGGCACCTGAGAACACTCAGTGGTCGTTAGAGGAAATCTGAGGGTTTTAAATAAAAGACTAGTTCCTGTTTTTCAGATCCATGCACAGACAAAACTGAAGACACTCAGGGTTTTTTTTGTGAACAAAGGAGGCCCGTCTGCATGTCACTTTTCAAATGTAGCCATACTGCAAAGATACAGCTACTAAAAAGTCATGGGACTAAACTAGACCAAAACACAGGTGAACTAAAAAAGACAGCGGCAACAGAAACTTCAGGCATAACTCTGCAATTTCCTGGTCTAATTTCTAGCATAAGCATTAATTCTATTTCATTTTTTATATTTAGATTTTTAGAACTGGAACATACATTTTTTGTCTGCTGTCACCAGTTAACTAATAGAAATTTGGTTGAGAAAATGTGACATAAAATTGGGAAATAAAGTGATCTGCATTTCCGCTATAACTGATTACGATCTACAGCTGAAACTGATACATTCAAGTAGTAATGTAACCAAATACCTGATTATTCCAAGACAAAATACTCTCTCAGAGCAAATGGGAATCTTGACTACAATTAAAGGTTAAAAAAAAAAAAAAAGAGTATATACAGAATAGCCTCAACCAGTTTAGCACTACTTGATGATTTATCTAAAATGCAACCATAAAGTACTAGCCTTGAACCTGCCCAACAACAAATATTCTCAGGTGAAGGACCAATGAGTCAGGGACATGAGACAACATTTCAAAGGCGTTTTCTTTAACTATTAAAAGTATGTGAAAACATCAGCTAACATGTTTTCACACAGAGTAGAAAGCACCACTTTTATCATACATGGAATTAGTCAAGTTGAAAAATGAGGCATGGTATTCTTCAACACACGAGTCAAAGAATGTGTTGGGAGGAGGATCCTGGACATTAATCGCAGTTTAGCATTCTTTGTAATCTACTGTTTTGTCTACACGAGACTTCAAGTGTTTTGAAATTTGTTAGTTAATGCATTCAAACTTCATAGATTTAATTCACTCCTTAGTCTAGACAAGGCCTTAGAAGCAATCATTTTAGATTGGCTTTAAGGCGTACTGTCAGAATATCCATTCAGGAGCTTGTGTTGTCCTTGTGTTTTGTTGTGTCGTCTTGTGATTTTGATTAGACTTCAGTCTCCACTCTCGGAAGTGGCATTCAACACGCAAGGTGACTTAAAATACACTTGGTAACGCTAGCTGTCAAACACAATGGAGTCAATGTAGCTTTGCAGACATGCTCTTAAATAATATTCAGATTCAGGTTAAGAAAGCAAAATTGATAGAATATACTTCAAACACAGCATTTATTACAAAGGTGCATAGAGTCTATGCCATTTCTTTTGAATACTTACGTTTTAAACTACAAACAACATACAAAGCTAGGTTACAGTATGTAATAAAGTCAACAGTGATTATCTAGTAAATTCAGTACAACAGACTATTCTATAGTATTTAATTTCACAAGACATTTCTGAAACAAAGGCACTTACAGAATTAAAAAAAAAAAGAAAGAATATATACTCTTTCAACATTAAAATCTGAATTCCATTCCCCCTCCCCTACGGTACTGTGGGTAACTGGTTTGAGATGAAGGAATTAGCTACTTGGACTGACACATCAGTAATGATTAAACTAAAACTTTATGGACCAACTTCTTTTCTACAGCCATCCCAGCCACTTAACTATATGAAAACAGGTTTCAATGGGTTTGCATGGGAATAACTGAACAAAATTTGGTGCCGTGTCTTATCGTTGATGATGGTTAATACACTAACAGTAAGAAAAGATCTGGCTAAGTGCTCCAGTTAAGAAGTAAGCAAAGTCGACTGTTTTCTTTCAACCAGTTTTGTAACTGAAGTAGTTAATACAGGCTCCTTAACCCTACCCTTCTTTTAGGATACCACATCTCCTCCCACCTCTCCAAAATCACCCTGAACATCTCTGTGTCCTGTCTGATCTCTACTCTATTTACCCATAAACTTCAGATTTAGGGCTTCTGTTGTTATTGCCACCGCTTTACCTTCATACTACCTGCTGTATGTGGGCTTTTTTCTTAGGGATAACAGGTGGCAGATGATAGAACCAACTTCTCCTCGTGAAATTGCAGACTTTCCTTTTAAATCCAAAATACAACCCTACTGACACCACCATGAACTGTACATTTTGTCACCTCAGCTATAAGAAAGAAATGGAGACGCAGAGTAACAACCTCATAAACACAAACACTAGAAAACTGTGCCTGTGCCCCGAGAACTGCCCGGTACCTGCGCTTGCTGGCTGTGCCTCACTGGCCAGACTCCCTCTGGGCACTGGCGAACAAAATTGCTGCAATAGTCTTGGCCCTCCTTCTATGTGTACAACACACACAGGTAGGATCTACACAACAAAGATTACTTCTGCACTACTTTAGTGACCTCCAACACAAATATTCAGGATTTCTAGGGAAATACTTCAGCAGACACTGTCCGTTTATGGTTGTTCCCACACAACTCCTAACAGTGTAATGAAGCATTGCCCAATTTCCTGGCCTGCAAGACAGGGAAGAGGAGGATCACAAAGATACAGCACATTCCTGGTTTGTGAGTGTCTCCTGGCACCGTTTCATGCTGTTAACTTGAACACTGCTTAGAGAGGCATACCACGGGGGCCTAGGTTGTCATGAATCACAATGCGAAAGAAATTCTACAAGTTTCTTCTGAAATGCCCTGAAGATTTTCTTAAACAAGAACTGGAATAACCTAGAAATGGCCTCAAAAACTGGGAAGAGAAATAAATAAGGCTGCCTTGGACAGTAGCAGTTTCCATCCCTCATTCTGCATAGGTAGACAAGGTAAAACAATACCATCAGTTACAAGAGCAATGTTTTTCAAGCAATAACATACCCTAAACGTGGCATCCCAGGAAAAGTGGCTTAGCAGCCTCTCGGCACGTAATATCAGTATATGAGATGTGTCAAAACTACTCAATGAATTATGTCACAGTGATTGATACAATAGTCAACTGATAACTCTTCTAAGGAATAACAAATTGTATTTCAATGTTAGAAAAGACAAAATTACAGAGTACACAAAAAAAGTCATGAGTCATTTGATAAATAGAAGTTGTACAGAGCCAAAAGCCTTACAAACATTGGTAATAGTCATGAAGGTGTCTTAAGATGTTTTCATGGCTCCCAGCATGATATTGGAAATACATTATCTCTCTGTGACCAAATCCTTCCACCCTTCCTTATCCTGACTTCTTAATGGGAATGTTGAAGACAGAAGGGAGATTTAACCTCTACTGCATGTCAGGTTGCTATTTCTTATTCCCCTCCAATATTATTTCTCAAATACAGGCTTAGTTTACAAATATACAACATCCCTCCAAGCTTCCTGCTACAGACAGTTACAAACCCTACAAGTTTAAAAAACGCAATCTATTTCTGACATTGCATATCTCCTATAAAGTCAATTACTTCCCCTATGATGAGGCAGGACTGAGCACCAGCGGTCACTTCCACTTAACATACGATTAAGGTGATAATTTGTTTTTTTCAAACTAGACAGTAGCATACCGCTATTACACAAACCAAGTACTCATCCAATAACGTTTATGCAGAATTCTCAGGTTTTCAGCTTTTGATCTATTTGTTGTAGTGGGTGGCAGAGGGTTTGTTTTTGTTACCGATTTCTAGCTATGAATTAAAATAGCCTGAGAAGACAGCCAATAAAGTTATTACTTTAAAGCATGAAAACTGGAAAAGAAAACAAGGAAATAACCAATTCATGCTATTTAGCACAGAAAAATGCAACTAGCACAAAGACAATTAAATGTGGTTCACTACCCCTTACCAAATGCAAATATGTTTTAAAAAAGGAAAATTCCCTTTTGAACCATAAAGGAAGTGTATTACAATGTAGCTTACATAATGATAGTAGCTTCAAAACAGGCAGAACATATACATTGAGTTTCTCAGAGATTAAGTTCTTATGTTTTAGCACTGTGCAAAATATTGCTACAGCTTCGGGTGTCTGAAAACGCTCTTGCTGGATCATTCCTCTCTATCACACAAAATTATTGCACAGCAAATGTTATGCTCATCCTTTTTTCTGAAGTACTCCTTCATGCTTTTCTCACTAAATTCTGAACAAAATCTCTTTTTGAATTTGCTTGAGGTATAAATGAATAATTTCTGCAAGAAAATACTCCTTCCTTATACTCAAAACATTTAAAAAAAGAAAAAGATACTGAATTAGCTTTCGCTTTACTTGGACAAAAGATTGTTGTCTTCCAGGAAAATATACTATGTGGTGTAAACAGCACAAATTATATTTTTAAAAAGTTTTGTATACAGAAGCATAGTAGCAGATCTGTTCAATAGACGGGCTTCTGAGGATCCATATAAGCAGGGTTGTAAGGGGGCTGGCTGATTGGGTAAGGTGCTCCAGCACCAACTGCAAAAGCAAAACACAAGAAAAGACAGATTTATAAAACTGACATTCTGAATTCTACGTCTGTAATAACAACTTCAGTTTTGAGTACACATTTGAAAAGTTGAATTTATCTAGCATCTTAATTGGACTCGTAATTCATAAAGCATTTGCGTTTCACAAGTTAGATAAAGTGTTTTGGTGTTTTTTGAGTGAATATGTGTATCAGGGCACCCACAAGCCAGTAGAAGTCAGCGAAGCAAATGCAACAGGACATATCTGGTAGTACGTAGAGGAGTTAGAATAAACCACTTGGCCAATGAAAAAGGACTAGAGAAAGTGTCTTAGAATTCCTTCAGGGAAGTACTCTCTTGGTAAATATCACCAAATTAATTAAAAAAAAAAAAAAGTGGCCCACTGCTAAAGCCCATGAAGTAGTTGTACACATATACTAGATGTACCACTCAACCTGTACTCTTCTTTTTTTAGTATTCTGCAACAAGCTCTTCTCAGGCATCACATTCATTTTCAGGTCTGTCAAGCAGCACAAGTTAGTTGAAATAATGCAGCACTTGATCAGATCCCTAGAAGGTACAAAGGTGGCTATCTTTCACTGATCTTGTAAGTCGAGTGGCCTTGGCTCCTGTGTGACAGAGCAGGTATTCTCTCCACTGCATGTGACCTAATTAAGAGACTGTCCCCTGGCTAACAGACAAGGGAAATAAGAAAAGAAAAAGCTCTCATTTTCAGGTGTTCTCAACGAGGAACATGGAAAGCGCTGCAAGATTTTCCCAGGAAAATATCTAAGAATTAAAAAACTGGCAACTTAGCTGAGGAACCTCCGGAGAAACCAGGGAGCAGGGGAAGCAAAATGACGAGTTCATTGGCTCCCTCACACTAGAAAGATGAAGCCAAAGCAGCTGGGGGTAATCCCATAAAACCCACAGCTCCTTCAGAGTTTGTCGAGGAAAAATAAAGTCACCATGCTTGCAAAGACAGCGGGAGGCAAAACGTTTTTAGAGGCTGAGCCAATTTGCACATTGCTAAAGTGCAATTCTTAACTGGTTTGCAATGTTAATATAAAGGTCTTGCTTAAGACCATGAAGAGCCATTTTAGGTTTTGACTTGTTATGAAAGAGTTGCTTTCTAAGGGCAGTATCTACTCTTCAGGACTACAATTTGCTTGTTACTTGGAAGAGTGAACAGTGCAGGATGTGGAGGTGCAGGTGTAAGGGGGTTTTAAGATCCTAGCCTAGATAACAGCCTAGTTTTGGCCTCTCTGAACAGCCACGAGCCAACTGTTCAGAGAACAGCTATTTCCAGCACAACAGGGAATTAGTAATGTCAATGGTAAAGCTATGCGAAACTGTGAAAGCAATGCTGTGCAAGAAGGAAAGCAAGAAACCAGTTAATGCTAGCTCTCAGTCATTGACAGACCTGCATGAAGTTGACCAAGGACTGGTTATTCTATGAGTCTAGTGACCAACTACTAGCAAATACCATTTCTGTGTATGCATTTAAACATTTAGTAAATATTTGATTAGGAGATCTAAGCAGAAACACCCTCGAACTACTATACATATGTTAAATGGACTTTGATTTTAAGATGAAACCGCAGCTGAACTAGTAAGGCGTTCTACTGGATCCGCTCATACACCACCAAACTTTGCCAACACAGCTCCAGCTAAATCTTCTCTTGCAACGATTATTGCAGAAAGGGCAATGGGGAAATTTCAACATGGGCAAATTAAAACATCCACCATAACTAGAGTTTTACATAATTTGCTTGCGCTTACATTAATATAGTCATGGAAAGTAATAATGGTAAGTAATAGAGGATTTGTTCTAATGCAAGTGTCTTTTTAGCTATTTAAGAAGAGAAGAAACAACACTGCATTCTTTCCTTACCTGCCACCGTTTCATGATAAGCTGGGGGCCCCGATGGCTGCGTGGGGTAAGGGGGAGGATACTGCGTAGGGTACGGTGCTACCGGCATGCCTGGCTGCGGCTGCAGAGCCACAGGCTGATAGCCTTGATATGGCGCTGCTGGGTAGCCTGGCGGCACTGCTGGTTGTTGGGGATAGGGAGCATGAACCACCGTGGTGGCAGTAGTGGTAGTCACAACAGCTGCAAACAACCACAAGGAACATGATTAGTGCTGGTGGTCCTCGGAGACAGCCAACAACAGCAGTGTGAAACCAGTCGCTCTTCAGATCACTTCCTCAGTCCAAGTCCTGGGCAATTTCATTTTTGAACTTCCATGAGAAATTTAGAAATCTATACCTCAAATTACCCTTCCACTGATCTTAAAGGTAACGGAGCCTTCACATACCTGGACAGCAGCCAGCTTATCTCCTTATTTCTCACCCACAAAGAGCAAATAATTTTTTTCTTGGACTCTTCACAAACTAGAACCTCCTCTCTGCAGCCAAGGTATCTATTGTTCCAGGACAAACTGCTCCTTTCTAAAGATGTTTTTTTTTTTTTTTGTTAAAAGACAAAAGTGATAAAGTTCTCCTTTGTCAGGCAAGGAGGGTAGTTAAGTTTACGCAATGTTCCTCCAGCTTCCTATGGTGACCCACTGCCCAAATGGGTTCCCTTATGTATGTTCTATATGTATTAGTATATCTATGTGTTAGTGTATCTTTCTCTAAATAACAGTTTGAAAAGTAACTACACGTCCGCAATCCATTTTTGCAGGAGCTGATGCTGGATTACTGGTGCATGTCTTTCCTGAAACAAGGGAGCATTAAGACTTTCTAATAAACTGCAATAATTTGTTTTCCAGATCTCCTTCCTCCTTATGCTACAACTATATTTTTTTCCTCAAGATTCTACTTAAAGAATAGGGAATGGCAAAGGCAGCCTTTTACTTTACTTATATTTAAAACTTGTCATAAACGTGCATTTACTATGTCTGCAACTGTATCCAGGCTAAACTCAGCTAACATTTGAAGTAATTTTAATATTATTTTAATCAAAGCATAACACTTTTCATGAGTGTTTCCCTTTAAAATAATCATTTTTAAAAACTGATCTCAGAGGACCACATACAGCATTTGATTATGGAATTTTAATCGGCATAAGGTTTGTCCATATAAATCAACATTTCATTTTTTATTTTGATTTAATATCATTCTAACTGACAAAGATTTGGAATAAAGAAAAAGCATTAACATACATTTCAAAATTATGCAAGTGCAACACTAAGAACAGAAAAGCTATAAACGGTCACTGTAAACTTTACACGTCAATCTGGTAAATAAAACAGAGCTTCAGCTCCAAAAATACTCACTTAATTCCTATGGTATAGTGATTCCCTATTAAGTTAAAGTACAACCTTAAAACAAGAAAACTTTCTGTAAGTTAAGAGAATTTGTAATAAATTTGCAGTATTTGTACCACCATAATGTTGCTTTTGCAATATGTGATTTTCCTGAGCAGTGATGGAGCAAAGAACGATATATCTTGTCAAACAGTTTGAATCATCATTTTCCAGGGTTAATCAAGGATTGTATATAATCATATATTTTAAGTGTAACATAGTGGAAAAGCATGGTGTGGAAAAGCTTCTCATTCTTCAATGATAAATATATTCAGTGCCAAAAGATAATCTTAAGTAAGTCCTTTGCAATTATTGTTGAGGTAGTGGGCCTTGGGTATATTATTCACAGTATATTTTTAAGAGAATGGGAAACAATTTAAAATGCTTCTTTCGTTCTATCCTCTGGTTTCCTAAGATAAACAAACCCCCAAATCCATACCCGGGCAGGGGGGAAGGAAGGGGGCAGAGAACTTCTTAAATGCTTAGAAAATAAAAAATTTCTCTGCAACTTCACATTTTGAATGCTTATTTCTAATATTTAGGTATTGGAACTTCTGTATCAGAGGGGCAGGAAAAGATTATTTGCATCTTTTTCAGGCACACAATTTTCTAGAAAAAAAAGATCTTGTTGAAAGAGGTAAAGGAAAGGAGAGTAAATATACAGGTACTCACGCCGTGGTCTTCGACATGCTTTATACAAACAGCAACACGAACAGGTGAGGCACAGGATAATTGTGACTACAACCACCGCAAAGAGGATAACCCCAATTGCAACAAGGGTTCCAAAACTGCAAGGAAAACAGCACCAGAAGTAATCAAAGTCTCTCATGCCAATTTATTACTATTCCACCTTGCATTCTACAGCCAACACATCGCTCTGCCTCCGATGTATTACTCTCTTACTAAATCATGCATTGGAACAGGAAACAACTTCAAGCGCATTCCTACGTTAAGCTCAGGTCTGCTAAGCCAGTGGAAGCAGATCGATACCTACCGTGTTCACCATCCGTGAAAAGGGCTTAACATGGCTATTTAATCTTTCTTATTTTAGCGTGACTGTGTGTCCCTTTATGTATTTCAAACAGATGACAGAGATAATGTTGTAAACACACTGGTCAACTAGTTAATTTTCAAAGTATTACTTGACTGCTTTGAACACGCAGGTAGGCATGCCTGAAATGAAGCGCCTCAGATTTCCGGGTGATAGCGGCTTCTTTTTACGTTATTGAGACAACGATTCCCCTATCGACTGCCTAAGGCCAACCCAGAGTGAATCTCAGAATTTAGCACACCTCTCCACGCTGCAGAGTCTTGGCAGATTTCTTGGCATTTGTAAATAATTGTTTTAGAAGCCATATTTCACATGATATGAAAAAGCACTGGAATCTAAGACCCTTTGAAGTGTTAATTATATTTACTTCAAACATTAAGTAACGTGATTTGTCTGAAATCCAGTGAAGCTCTTCTTCCATGCAAGTCAAAGTCTCTGGCATTTTTACTTCTTACTTCTTTACTTCATGCATTGCATCAGTTTTGGAAACAATCACAGGAAGTCAGTCTTAATGAAAAACAAGCCCTAAAATAATGAGTAGAGAGCTGTTTTTATATCCATTCTGTTTTTGCTTCCTCATAGATATTTCGGCTACAGAACTTTCTGGTTTTCTCCCTGGTCAGCTTCCTGTTAACAGCTTTAAACAAAATGACACACATCTAAATCCTCAGTAGTTTTCACTTGGCTACCAAGCAGCCATCAAATGTAAGAACTGTTTGTGAGTATCAATGACACTGGAAGGTTAGATCACTGACTTAAAAAATGATAAGTTCTCTGTTCCTGGCTCAAATTCATAAGACCTCTACTCAAACCTTGTGAAAACAAGCAAATCTCCTGTAGAAAATTCTTGTCAGCATTCAGAGGGACCTGGACAGGGTGGAGAGCTGGGCAGAGAGGAACCTCTTGAAGTTCAACACAGGCAAGTGCAGGGTCCTGCACGAGATCAACCCTGAGAAAGCTTTATCACTAGGGAAGGGAACGTTGCCATTATACACAATTATTACCAAGCAGCATGAGCAGAAACAACAACAAAGAGTTTTAGAAGTTCTTCCTCAGCCTTTTCCTAGCAAAGGAAGATGAGCCCTTTTCTGCTAGTGAAGGATGGTCTCCGTGCCAAGGAAAGAGATTAGGCCTGACCACAACGACTGAAATTCTTCACCTCCGTAGCCAATGAACCCCTGTGAACTTTAGCAAAGGCTGGGCAGAAACACCAACAAACAGCTAGTCCTAAGAAAGGGAGAAACAGGATGAGATGGAGAAATGCCTAATTACTACAAACAAACTAACACTGTAGGAAACTGGCAGAGCCCTTGTCATTCAGGACCAAATTCAGCTCCTTCCTGAAACAGCATAAACACATCTGCAGCTGAGCTGGCCACTAACAGACAAACAAACATTGGTCAGTCTGAAGCACAGGCTCTATTTGCTTATTTGTAGTGAGACTACATTCCCTCCTAAAGTTTTCTCCTCTTCGAAGCACATCTCTCATTGCTCTGCATTACCTATCTATAATAAGAAAAGCGACAACAGCAAAGCTCAGAACAAAATTCCGTATTTTTGGCTGCATCTTTGTTAAAACGACATGACTACGGCATGATGCAATTTTGCACGCACCTTTTAAAGAGCTAAATGGAGACATATATGTAAAGTACAGGTATATCAAGCATATATACACTTTAGAATGCGGTACTGTGTTTTTGTGTGTAAACACTGTGATTCAGTTCTATACACTGAAATCCTGTGTGATTACTACAGACCAAAATTATAAGCCTTGAGAAGCAGATCACTGGGTAGAACAGCAGACACGTGAGTCCCTCCCAGAGCTTTCCAAGGAGGACACACAAGTAGATTACTGTAGGCGTTTTTATTGTCCACTTTACACCAGAAGCATAACTTTTCTTCCACCGTTTGGGCTCAGGTGGGCCACGTGGGTCTGCCTGAAATAGCAGAAGGGAACATGCCATTCAGGGAAACCAACACAGCACGTGCGATGAGCTTGCAACCCGTTGTGGCAACACCCTCTTCCTACGCCGGCACTCTTCAAACAATTTTTTTTTTCCTAATGATTTCTCTTGCTAGTTCGGAGGACTCATTTGGAATATCTGCGTGGTCAGGCACTACCTTGCTGTATTAATAACATCTGTCCTTTCGCTGCCCAAGGATTACTGCCCTGAAGACTTTTTCTGAGCATTTAGTAACACTGATGTGGAGTAATTAATGTCTCTAGGCCCCTAGAAGTTTGCTGGTAACACTGCTGAAGAAAGGGCAGGAAGACAACAAGTAATAGAAGACAGTACTCAAGTGAGGCCCAACTACAGGAATGGTGCTCAGGACCATTGGGGAACCATCAGGAGACAAAAGATATTCCAGATCTTGTGCAAAGACCCTCTTGCAGTGTGCTAACTCCAGAAAGTCTATACTCCTTTCCCGAGTGAAACTACTTCTTCATTTAGTTGCTTTCACTCGATGAATTTGTCTGAAAGGACCCTGAAAATATGTGAAAAAAAATATATTCGCACTAAATAATATTTTAATTACTATTGGCCTGCATAATACAGGAAAAAAGTAAACACGAGGGACTGTAGCTTAAAGTTACTTCCCCCGTATGGTTAACCAAGCAAGAAAAAATATCTTACCCCCAGTGAATTCTGCAAACAAGAAGTCAAAGGGCAGAAATCGGGGTGGCCGCAGCGCAGAACCGCACAACGCTGCTGGCGTCACAGCTTGAGCACTGCTTTGCCGGCTCCTGTACTATATGCCACAGTCTAAATAAGCCACGCGCTGTTATATACAGCTTGAGCTCATTCACCACCATTTCCTGTTTCTTTCTTTTCACATAATAAAAGCTTAGTTTTGCCAATAACTTAAATGAAAACAAAATGGAAACACAGCAGTAACTTTTACTGCAGCAATGATAAAAATGCAACTTCTCATAAAACTGATGGAAAAGTAAATACCAACAGGGGACTCTCTTCCTACCACCACACTCCTCCTCTTCCTTCTTCTACCCTATGTCTACCCCTATTTTCACACATTTAGAAAGCACTAAATTGTACATGTAAGGAGCTTAACTCTCAGACTCATCTTACATTCCAGGTATGCTAATTATTCAAAACACATTTGAGTTTACGTAAAGGGAGTTATGCGATTGGTGCCTGTTTTACCCCTGTTTGGTACTGAATGAGACACAAGGGACATACTAAAACGGGAGACTCAAATTCGATATTTAAAAGGCACTATTGGATAGAAGTTAATTCTCAAGGCAGTTTTATTCCATATTGCAGGTCTCAATTTTAAAGTCATGTGGAAAAAAAAACTATAAAATGCTTTGAACGTAGCTCCTAAGACCTTTTACAACATTCACCTTTCAGTTCCAGTAACATTTTTAAACTTCCTTCCTAGTTTGAATCATTTTTAAGTTGCTGACATTTTATAAGTCCTGTTGTAAACAGAGTCAGTGCCTGCGTATGCATGCATGACAATGGCACACACTTTTATCTTAAAAACAAATACAAACACCCAAATAAACAACAGTGCGACCTAGTTCTGAAAAATCAGTTTTAATCTATTCCAAGATTTGTTCCATGTTATAAGAAACATGTTGGCAGGGTCCTTTCAAAAGGCAGGGTTGCTTTTAAAGCAAGTATTTCCCAACTCTGAGTTATGGCTGTAACACAGGGTGGCCTGGAAAGATCTCAGAAGATAATTTAGGCTATTCCTAAAAGTCTAAAGCAAAACAAGCATATGCATATCATCCTTTCCTGCTTCAGAAAAGGACTCATTTCCCAGCCACATGACAGCGTGCTGTGTGTCCAGACTTGCCTTCACTCAGATACAGGACACGACCAAGCAAGTCCCCAGACTGAGATGCTTTCCTACTGAGATGCTTTCCTAAGTCCCACATTTCAGTCACAGCCACACGGTGCCAGACACTGCCTCGAAAGCTTACAGGGAAAATAAGGAAAGAGCAATGTATTTATTCATTTATTTTTAAAAAAAATCACACAACTTCCCAAGGGTCTTTCAGAAGGATTAATTTTTACAACTTTACAAACAACATGCTTTCTCAATTTAACATTTCAGCATGAAGATTCAGTACAGAAGAACCACTCGCTAGATACTCAGAAAAGATTTACTATTGCACAAAAAGCAACCTCCCATGAGGGCAGTCGTATACACAGAAAAACGCCAGCATGACTCTCACACTTGGTAGACCAAACAGCCTATTTTAGCACAGCTTGTTTTTGGCTCACAGGAGCTTTGACACATGCTGACAATCCAAACATACGCTCTAGAGAGCACGGTCGCACAGCCCGTCCAGTTGCAATTGCATTAATTGCTGGTGCTGACGGTGGGCTGCTGCAGCCATTGACCTGAAGGGCCACCTCCCCTGAAGCGTGATCTCCGCAGGACCTGGAGGCTTCTGGCAAACAAGGGCCCAGTGATTCCTCGGGTGAGGACAGGCAACCCACGATTCAGGGACTGGGTAGCATTGTTTCAAAATTACAAAATCCTGAAGGGTTTCATCAGACTGGCAGGTCTGAATAACAGTTAAGTCATTTTATAAACTGCAACGCAGTGAAGTGCATCCTGCTTAAGTGGAACTATCACATCTAGATTTATCTTTCAAGTAAAATGTTAACTCATGCTACTACTTGAAAGTATTTCTCCTAGGGTCCTGCCTACACACAGCTCCTTAACAAAACTAAAGTTTTTCCATCCCACTTCAGCTAACCC